ATAAAAAAAGTTATTAAACAATTAAGTTCTCATAGTAAGCGCACACTGCAGCCCATGCGTGTTTATGCGTGGGTGCTTGTATGTGTATGTGTGTGTGTGTGTGTGTGTGTGTGTATGCGTTTGTGTCTGTATGCGTGTGTGTGTGTATGTGTGTCTGTATGCGTGTGTGTGTATGTATACCTGTGTGTGCGTACGTGCGTGTGTATGTGTGTGTGTGTGTGTGCGTGTTTCTTGTGTAAGCTGAAAGTCGCGAAAAAGTATTGAAATATCTATTGCTCCAAGGGTTCAGGGGATCTCGTAGTCGAGCAGTCTCGACTAGAGCTTTCTTACTTGTTTCTTTTATATATTGTTGCCAGACTTATTCTCTTCCGAAAGGGAAGCCCAAAGTATTCCTCTTTGGTTCTAAGACCTACTAGGGTAAGGGTTATTCCACGATCGAATAGAAGGTCTCTGCAATTCATGTTTTTATACCCTGAACCCATTTTCAATGGGAAATCAGGGTATAATGGTTTTGTTGAAATGTATGTAACAGGCAGAAGGAGGCGTGGCAGACCCCACAAAGTATATATATTCTTGATCAGGGCGACGAGCTGAGTTAATTTGTCCGTCTGTCTTTTCGTCTGTCCGTATGTATGAACGCGTCGATTTCAGAAGATATAAGAGCTAGAGACTTCAATTTTTTTTTTTTAATGTCCGTAATTACAGCGCGCATATCAAGTTTATCATTAAAAATCGATAACTCATCCCGATCTTTTTTATCGGTAAAAAACCTTATCGAAAACCAGTTATAAAATTATATCTTCTACACCTTTATTGCTAGAGTCTCCAAATTTTTAATCTATGCGTATATGCAATTTATACAATTTCGGTTTTTGTTAAAATGTACCCCCACCTCTAAATTCACCCCCTCACCATCACTTTTGTAAAAAGCGTATTTCAAATACTAGAGACTTGTGCTTTGGCAATTACATGCATATTCATGTTATAATCGTAATCTGAAACAATTAAGTTCTCATAGTAAGCGCACACTGCAGCCCATGCGTGTTTATGCGTGGGTGCTTGTTTGTGTATGTGTTTGTGTATGTGTTTGTGTATGTGAGTGTGTGTATGCGTTTGTGTCTGTATGCGTGTGTGTGTATGTATGCCTGTGTGTGCGTACGTGCGTGTGTGTGTGTGCGTGTTTCTTGTGTAAGCTGAAAGACGCGAAAAATTATTGAAATATCTATTGCTCCAAGGGTTCAGGGGATCTCGTAGTCGAGCTGTCTCGACTAGAGCTTTCTTACTTGTTATTTTTTCATATTTCTGCTTTGCTTGTTGATTAGAGATTTCCAGATAACCGCTTTTTAATTTTGTTATATAGTTAGTGCTTTAAACTTAACTTTGACCACTAGGTTTCTTTTAATTTATACGGAAACCCATCATTCAACACAGGTGGAAATTGTGACGTTTATTTTTTATGACATTTGTCTTACGGCAAGGATTTGAACCTCGATACGAGAATTAATCTCGTACCACCATTATGCCTGCAAAATTCTTGTATTTTCGTTTTAAGACTCGTCTCGGCACGGATTTGAACCTAGGTATTTTCAATACCACCATTTAGCCACGATTTCTTTTATGTTATAGAATTATCTAGTGCACCAACACTTGCTAGAAATTATGTTATTATTTATTGTATTATTATGTTATGGCAAGGACTTTCACCCCATTACGTTACAAATCGCAGAAGTACTTCGTAATTTTGCCAACAATTGCCCAATCGGATTGGAACCATTTATTTGTACTTGCTTTTTTAATAAGTTATTTTTATAGAATTATTGACACGTCACCATTTCCCTTTACTTCCGTGAAGAATGCGGGTCCCTGCTCGGGCGCCAGTTAAGCGCTCCCACACTAGAGTACTACTGATTGGGGACGCTGTGTTGAGTTCTTGTGAATATATAACAACTTTGTGTTCAATGAAATAATATATTTTATACAATTTGGAACAATAGGTCTAAACTCTCTCTAGTCCGAATATAAACTGAACTAAATCTGTTCAACTGGTTAGGGTCTCCCCTTGAATGTCTGACTGGACTCTCCAGCCTCCTTAGATTGTCGAAAGTCTTAACTTACATTATACATTATACTTTATACATTATACATTATACATTATACATTATACATTATACATTATAAATTATAAATTATACATTATACATTATACATTATACATTATACATTATACATTATACATTATACATTATACATTATACATTATACATTATACATTATACATTATACATTATACATTATACATTATACATTATACATTATACATTATACATTATACATTATACATTATAATTATACATTATACATTATACATTATACATTATACATTATACATTATACATTATACATTATACATTATACATTATACATTATACATTATACATTATACATTATACATTATACATTATACATTATACATTATACATTATACATTATACATTATACATTATACATTATACATTATACATTATACATTATACATACATATACGGTTACCAAGAAGTGGTTCTGGTTGCCAAGCAATGGTGCGGTCAAGTTGCTGACGTTAACGAAGCCAACAGAAGAGCCACAACAAATAAGGTAAAACGTGTACATATGTATATTATTTTGCTGGATTAATCGCGTATTCAGTTGAAATTGGATAAAGCAATCAGGATGTCGTTCAAGGATGTGCGTGGTGAGTGCTTGACCAGTAGCTGTGGCTGCGGCTTTAACTTTTTCAATTTTTGCTATCCTATCATCCTTCTTGTTGATGCTCTCATCCATCAGATTTGAGTGAGCAACTCAAGCTGTTGGGCTTTTCACGGGTGCTTCCGCTTCAAGCACTCGCCACTCATCATGGTAGCCTAACTAACTTTTATATTGTGGCCGAGGTAATACAGTGGGTCTCTGGGCTGCTGGAGCCGGGCGTTATTCTGGCCGGTAATGTGGAAACGGAGGAACAGCGTGTGCTGCTCATACGCGTCGCCACTGAATTCTTTGTGACAAAGGCAGCCATAAAGCTTAATCCGCGTAAACTCTATGCCGCCGCGGCTGTTAGTTGCACTGAGTTACAGAAGATAACAAGTTTGCTCATTGCGCCTACACGCATAGAAGAAGATGTCGAGAATAGAGATGAGGAAAGTGAGCAAGATTGCAGTCTCAAGCAAGCAGACATTGGCGACAAAATGGATGAGTTGCGTCGAGCTCGCGACCTATCCTCGGATTTAACACAACGCGGCGCTGGTCTTTTCGATCTGCTATCTAAGGAGCTGATCAACAAGTCAGGGCGTGTAGCGCAGGTACAACGCGCAATGGAACTAGTCAGCGTGGAGCGCACTTTGAAGAACGCTATCCAGGCCAGCGACTTGAAACTGCAGTCCAGTCGTGCCCAACTAGAGAATGCACGTGTCGAACTTAATGCCCTCAACTCGAAGCTTCTGCGCAAGCGAGCAGAGCTGGAGAGAACCAAGCAGAGACTAGAGGCACTCCAAAACTTCGGCCCGCTCACATGTCAGAGTTTGAGGAATGCGAGAGGGAGCTGCAGCAATTATTTCAGCGTTACTTTCTACGATTTCATTTGCGTGATGCGCTGCGTAATTACCTGAAAGCACGCATCAAGCGACGTGGTACACCCATTTCATCGCCAATACTTCAGAAGCCGACAGAGAGCTCGATGTCATTTATACCAGAGAGCCTTATCAAGGACGATGACGATGAAGACGAAGATGGTGTTCATATGGGCAACGGACTGTCACGAGAGGCGGCCTTCGGTCTGGACTCAGAAATACCCGACATACGCGACGAAGATTTAATGCTACAGAGCACCACAGCAGACAGAGGTGTCCATCCCGGGTCGGTTGTCGGCTCGTCAACGGCGGCACCCAATAAGAGACCTGGGACGGCCACCTCTCGCAAACGTCCTACCACTGGATGTATTCGAAGAGCGGCAGCCACGGTATCTGCAGCTACCTCAAGCGGCGCACGCCCCACACGCATTGGACGAGATGGACCAAGTAGCAACATGCTCATTCGCTTTGGAGATAACGACAGTAGCTTTAGCAGTTCCGATAGTGATTTCAACGTGGGTATGGGCCCTGGCAAGGGTGATGATGATTGTAAGTCTGAAACGTATATTATTAACGTCAACTGATACATATTCCTCCTTACTCTCTATTCCCTATTTCCAAATCTTCACCTAGTTGATCTTAACTCTATCGATGATATTAGCATATCAAAACTAACGGGCGAGCTGCCACTGTGCCCGAAAACGGCGATCAAGCCGGAGCACAATAGCGACGAGGATTTTTAGCCAAACGAGCTGATGAATAGATTTATATACTACTAGCAGTCCCAGCAAGCGTTGCATTGCCCTACCCTTATTTCTAGGTAAAAAATGATTAAAAGGTATGTTGTTCAGGTTGGGATACACTCTAATTAATTTATTAATCAGATTTTCATTCAAGCACCTTGTGGTAAACGACATTCTTCGTTTTTTGGTCAGGTGCAAGAACAAATAATGCGGATGGTTTGCCAACACGTGAGCATGCCACGTACAATTGACCATGAGAAAAACACGCATTTTCTAGATTGAGGCCACAAATAGTCAAAGATTGGCCCTGTGATTTGTTGATCGTCATGGCGAAGGCAAGACGAATCGGGAATTGAATTCGTTTAAACTCAAAGGGCATATCTGTTGGGATCATCGGAATCCTTGGAATAAGAACTTCCTCATCTTTAAATTTTCCTTTGAGTATCGACGCGTGAATAACATTGCTCAACAGTTTTCTTATTACTAAACGCGTTCCATTGCACAGTTTTGGTTGGTTTAAATTTCTAAGCATGATAACTACCGAGCCAACCTTCAGTTGTAAATTGTGCGGTGGTAAACCAGGCACATCCAAGGAGTTCAAAAATTCAGTTGGATAATTAGTGGCTTCATCTTCGTTTGTTACACAGTCGATAGATTTAAATGAATACAGAGTACCAACGATTTTATTTTGAATTATAAAATTAAGGTCATCCACATCTTTATTTTTAGCTGCCAAAATTGCTCGCTCACTTAACCATTTAGTATTTTTGTGGAAAGCAATGATATTCGGAAATACTTTGTATGTCGCTGGTAAAATAGTCAATCGACCAACATTTTCAGAATCTCCGTCTGTAATTATTGCATCGCGTAAATGAATATACTCTTCCGAACGCAATTTAGCTTGATTCAAACGGATGAAAGTCAGGCGCTCCGTTTCGATTTTCACGTACATGTCAACGCAGTATTGTTGAAACAGTCGACGAAATCGCAACAAATAATTGTCAGAATTTTCACGAATCATCAAACGATATGCGTAATAATTCATCGAACTAACCTTCTTGGCAGTTTCCTCACCTGACCCCTAATAGGTTTACGACTCTTACAGCTACTCTCTACCAAATTAAGAGTGATAAGTTTTTTTGTGTACCAAAAGCAAACAGAATGAAATGTATATAAAGTTAAAATGAAAACAATGATTGATCTTACCATTCAATGGATTTATCATTTTGATATTAAAGTGATATCCATCGTCTCCTTGCCAAAACATCAGCGGGTATTGTAAAGCGTCATATGAACGGTGCGTTTCAGATATTCTTTGTAGTTGCGCAGCACTGCGTCGTGTAAGCACAATATCGCGTGCTTCCAAGCTTTCACCAACAATCAGGATTGCCACTTCATCGATTGTTGGAGCATTAAATGTGCGTTCATGTGTTCCAGCTGGTCTTTTATCTGCTCTGATTACTATTTTATAGTCATCTCTTGGCATGCGCTCTAAAGCGGTCTTGAACAACTTGACCAATGCATGATGTTCATGAAGCATTTGCTGCAAATCTTGGAGAATTGCTCTTTTCATCGCAGTGTTGATTTCTTGGCGCCGATCAAGTTGCTCTTCCATATTGCCCATGAAGTATATTTGCAAGAATTTGTGCTGTTCATCTTCAATAGGTTGCAATGATCCAATGCAATGGCAAATCTGGCCTTGAATCTTTACATTCAAAGCCATAGTTATAGTTAGATTTACAAACACTTTTTACAGAAATCTAACCAACTACATTATCCCAAATAAGAAAATAAAATTTTTAACGTAAATTACCTTAAATGTCGGATTATATCCGTGTTCTTCAATAATTTCCGCCCCAAATGAAGTCATTTGGAAACAGGCATTGTATTTTTGAGTGTTCGCTAGAAAATGTCGTGATTCTAGTGTTTCGCCATAAAGCAGGGAACGCAATGGCTCTGGTGGCGAGACCACTAATGGCAATGTCACTTTACCACTAAGGCAGCACAAACCGGGCGTTTCACCAGCAAACTTCAATGCGCCACAATGCTGGCAAACAACGTCCATTGGACCAATGCAAACTAAACGATTCAAGCTGTAGTCAATGGTACAATCATATCGAAACGCTGCTCGATTCAAATCAATCCTTGAACCATTTCTTATTGCCGTTTCACGGGCTGCCTCTCTTTGAGAAGCACGAATTAAGGCCCTTCTTTGCTGGGTACTAACGCGGCGCCTTTCTCGTTCTTCGTCAGATAATTGACTCGCGGTATTCCGTAGCCTAATTGCATTATGGGTCCGCTGGGAAAGATTAGATCTTCTAGGACGCGGCATTTTCATTAATAGTAATACTGAATATGCACAATCGCACAAAACCACATAAAATATCGAGAAATCGAGAAATATAAATAAAAATTATTTACAAAAATAATGTCGAGAAATACACATATAAATTATTTACAAAAATAATGTCTGAGAAAAACAAATTCAACAATACCTACCTGAACTTTCGAGATATTTTGCTTTTGTCCGTATGCGTATTGTTTTTCAAAATTTTTTTTTTTTAACAAATGTGCTTTTTTATGAATAGTCAGGTTCGCCTGAGGCTGTGCCGTAGACTGACTGACTACATTTGTTTATTTACTTCTACACTATTGTCAAAACTGTCACTGTTACCAAGCCTACTGGGTATAAACAAAATTTGAACATTTGGGGAAAAAACCGCGTTTTTCAAGTATTCGGCAAATTTTTTCAGTATTTTTAAGACCCTATACTAAACTCGTTGCGGAGACAAATCCAACAAATCAAAAACCATGAAAATTGGTTCAGCCCAAATCAAGTTATAAGCAGTCTTCACTTTTACACAACTTTCTTTTATATATATAGATAAATGAGTTATTAATGTAATATTTGTAAACTAGCGATATTCCCTTAATCTTTTATTTATCCACCATTAATAGGCCATTGATGTTCCATCAAACTATAATTAATACACAATTAATGTGTTATACGACTATATTCGTTTATTATGCAGACACGCCAAATACATTTTCTCTTCAATCTATGCAACACACATACGCACACATACCAGCATTTGTAAATATATGTACATACATACATACATATAAAAACAAGTGAAAAAGCTTAAGTCGAGACTGCTCGACTACGAGATTCCCTGAGCCCTTCGAGCAACTGATATTTCACAAGAAACACCCACACGCTCACAGACACACAAGCATGGGCTGCAGTGTGGGTGAGGGGATGGACATAAGGGTCCATCCATGAGTTATAATAAAAATCGAAATTCTATAAAATGCATATAAATCTACATTTAAAATTTGGAGATTCTAGCTTTAAAGGTGTAGGAGATATCATTAAACAACTTATTTTTGATAGGGGTTTAATCGATAACAAAATATCGGGAGTAGTCATCGAGTTTTGAGGAAAAACTCGATATGCGCGTGATAAATAATACAAGTCTCTAGCTCTTATATACAGCGTGACCGAATATGGTATTTTAAATACTTTTTGGTATTTTATCAGTTCTGATTTTGCTCAAAAGTATTTTAATGGTAGCATTTTTCTTAGATTTTATGGTATTATATGGTATTTTTGGTTTGGTCATACTTTAAGTCTTAATGAATCGAATGCTTAATGCTTAAGACTTGCTTAATTTTAAAACAAATAAATAGAAAACATGAGCAATAAGCAAAAATATAGAGCTGAGTGGGAGACTATGCCGGAAAATTAAAAATGGCTGGGCAGGAGCGCAAATAATATGGATGCGTGCCACACTGACATTTTGAGTAGGCTGGCGTCACTTAAGCAGCACGCGGCTACACAAAAGCATAAAGATAATATGAAATACTTCTGTGGAAAATTAAAGGTGAGTTCTTTATATGCTTTTAAATTATATGTAAATAATAACTATTCTTTTTTCAGATTCAATCGTTTTTTAAAGAGTCGGACAACACTCTAACTACCTCTATCAAAAAGGCAGAAATTATGTTTGCTGCAACGATTGCTGAACACAACATATCAATGAGAGCAATGGACCATATTAGCTATGTGATCAAGTGCCATTGCGCAAAGCAGCTTCGCTTACGTACAATGAATTTTAAGCATTTAATTAATTTTCAGACTTTAAATATATATTGGAATATGGAATTGAATACGAATGCATATTGTTCTAGTTTTATGTTGGACTGAAATATTATTATACCCTGAACCCATTGAAAATGGGAAATCAGGGTATAATGGTTTTGTTGAAATGTATGTAACAGGCAGAAGGAGGCGTGGCAGACCCCACAAAGTATATATATTCTTGATCAGGGCGACGAGCTGAGTTGATTTGGCCCTGTCCGTCTGTCTGTCTGTCCGTCCGTCCGTCTGTCGGTATGTTTGAACGCGTCGATTTCCGAAGATATAAGAGCTAGAGACTTCAAATTTTTTTTTTAAATGTTCGTAACAACTTAGAATTGTGTGAACGATTTTGGGTTTTATTTGAAGAGGCGCGCTTACATTTAAGTAGATGACTTTATTTCAATGATCGTGGGTCTGCCTATCAGAATGATTTTTTGTTAAATGTAGTACCTGGTTAATCCCAGTGGGCAAATTGGAATGCGATCCCTTCGATCCCTTGCACCTGCACAAAATACAGGTGAAATTTAGCATATGTATGTACATACATACATACATATACGGGCCAAATAGACCCATTTTAAAGGGTGCATCTGTTAGATGTCGTAAAACTCATGCAATTTAAAAATACCTATAAAAGTAATGGGAAGTGCACTTGTTACTTTAGTTAGTCAGCTACTTAAATGTAAGCGCTCCTGTTCAAATAAAACCCAAAATCGTTCACACAATTCTAGGTTGTCGTAGGCACACGTCAATGCTCATGTCGCATGCATACACACATAAACATACACTAACATACGCACATACATATAAAGGCACTCAGATGCGTCTACAATGATTACCCCATCATTTGTGAGCATCGCGGCCTCTGCGTACACACAATCGAACATACATATGTATGTAAGTGTGAGCCGTTCACAAGATCGACCTAATGCAAATGCTGGGCTTTAAAATTGCTACAGGCAGCAAGAGCCTCGCACACAGGCATACAAATGCTCATAGTACATGTAGCAAGGGAGAGTGTGTGCGTGCACGCTCGTCGCGAAAGCATTTTCATTATGAGCACCAACGCTTTCATACCCTTCCCACAAATAATAACGAAAACGCAAATATTTTGTAGGAGCTTGGCAAACGGCTTGAAAAGTTCGGTATACTCTTCACACAGAAGGGAAGGCATGGGTTCTTGCTGCGACGAAATTTAAATTTTCGTGAGCTGCTGCTTGTGCTCACATGCATACACATATACACATTCGAGAGAGCAGAGAGCATCGAGAGAGAGACAGAGCAAGGGAAACACTGAGCATAGAGGGATCTTTTGTTCAAAATTTGACCATCTCGGTCGAGCGCATGAAGCGAAATGATTGTGCGTTCGTATTTTTTCGTAGCTCGAACCTAAAAGTAAGGAGCCGAGCGAGTCCAAAGGTGTCTGGGATGTTAAAGCCTCAAAAAAAGCATGCAAAAAGCTTTCCACTAGTTGTCTAGTCTATGTGTTCTCTGGTTAGTGGTGCTACCTTACGAACTAACGCTTATTCTACTTACTGCCTAATAATAATCAACTAATATCAACTTACGTCCTACAACTGAAATATAAACAATGATTTCAAAATATAACCTTAATAACTACAAAAATCCAAATCCAAAACAACAAAATTCCATTTCATTTTCCTAAATCGCTACAAAATCAAACTATGCCTCCAATCCTATTCAAATCCTATTCACCATAACAAAAATCTATTTCATTCAATATCTTTACTTATTACCTACAAACATGTAAGGTGGGCAAAAAAAAGGCCACCTTACATACTATATATTTTTTAATTTTTAAACTTTTTGTAGGATTTCATTAAAAATTTTTTTTTTTTTTTTTTTGTATACTTTTTATAATTTGTAAATTTTTCAAAATTTTTCAAAATTTTTCGTTTTAGTTACGGCTTAAGCTCGGTGCAAAAGTGAACTAAATTATTTCAGTGTCGGAAAACTTACTTACTATTCAATTCGATGCCTACTATGTTATCGATCTAATTTTCTACATTAAATCAGCTTTTCATTGTTTCCAAACTGCTGCTATTTACCGTTTCCAGTGGAGATAAGAAAATATTAATAATCGTCTCGTAGAATTGCTTCCTGTGGAGATAAATATATTAGTAATGCTCTCACATGGTCGTAACACCTTTTTATACCCTGAACCCATTTTCAATGGGAAATCAGGGTATAATGGTTTTGTTGAAATGTATGTAACAGGCAGAAGGAGGCGTGGCAGACCCCACAAAGTATATATATTCTTGATCAGGGCGACGAGCTGAGTTGATTTGGCCCTGTCCGTCTGTCCGTCCGTCCGTCTGTCCGTCTGTCCGTATGTATGAACGCGTCGATTTCAGAAGATATAAGAGCTAGAGACTTCAAATTTTTTTTTAAATGTTCGTAATTACAGCGCGCATATCAAGTTTATCATTAAAAATCGATAACTCATCCCGATCTTTTTTATCGATAAAAAACCTTATCGAAAACCAGTTATAAAATTATATCTTCTACACCTTTATTGCTAGTCTCAAAATTTTTTAGGTATGCCTATATGCAATTTATACAATTTCGGTTTTTGTTAAAATTTACCCCCCACCCTTAAATTCACCCCCTCACCCTCACTTTTGTAAAAAGCTTATTTCAAATACTAGAGACTTGTGCTTTGGCAATTACATGCATATCCATGTCATAATCATAATCTGAAAGTTTCATGAAGATCGTACGTCCACAAAAAAGTTATTAAGCAATTAAGTTCTCATAGTAAGCGCTCACTGCCGCCCATGCGTGTTTATGCGTGGTTGCTTGTGTGTGTATGTATGTGTGTATATGTGTGTGTGTATGCGTTTGTGTATGTATGCGTGTGTGTGTGTATGTGTGTCTGTATGCGTGTGTGTGTATGTATGCCTGTGTGTGCGTACGTGCGTGTGTGTGTGTGTGTGTGCGTGTTTCTTGTGTAAGCTGAAAGTCGCGAAAAAGTATTGAAATATCTATTGCTCCAAGGGTTCAGGGGATCTCGTAGTCGAGCAGTCTCGACTAGAGCTTTCTTACTTGTTTAAATAGTTGACGTGAATATTATTTCTTTTATATTATTTCATTGAATTACTAATTGTATTGAATTACGTGTGTGTGTTACCACGTGTGGTATTGCGTTGTCTGTTATAGAATTACTGAATTACTAGTTGTATTATCTTTTGTTACCGAACCGGCAAACAGTTTTTATTATTTTATATGGCTTGGGAAGCCCTCAGGATCCTTTTTGGTGTAAGACCTACTTAGGTGAGGGTGGTTCCACAATCATCTGGTCTCTCTCTTGCTTTCGTTTCATTTATTTATTTATTTTACTTTTTTCTTTTATATATTGTTGCCAGACTTATTCTCTTCCGAAAGGGAAGCCCAAAGTATTCCTCTTTGGTTCTAAGACCTACTAGGGTAAGGGTTATTCCACGATCGAATAGAAGGTCTCTGCAATTCATGTTTTTATACCCTGAACCCATTTTCAATGGGAAATCAGGGTATAATGGTTTTGTTGAAATGTATGTAACAGGCAGAAGGAGGCGTGGCAGACCCCACAAAGTATATATATTCTTGATCAGGGCGACGAGCTGAGTTGATTTGTCCGTCTGTCTTTTCGTCTGTCCGTATGTATGAACGCGTCGATTTCAGAAGATATAAGAGCTAGAGACTTCAATTTTTTTTTTTTTTTAATGTCCGTAATTACAGCGCGCATATCAAGTTTATCATTAAAAATCGATAACTCATCCCGTTCTTTTTTTATCGGTAAAAAACCTTATCGAAAACCAGTTATAAAATTATATCTTCTACACCTTTATTGCTAGAGTCTCAAAATTTAATGTATGCGTATATGCAATTTATACAATTTCGGTTTTTGTTAAAATGTACCCCCACCTCTAAATTCACCCCCTCACCATCACTTTTGTAAAAAGCGTATTTCAAATACTAGAGACTTGTGCTTTGGCAATTACATGCATATTCATGTTATAATCATAATCTGAAAGTTTCATGAAGATCGTACGTCCATAAAGTTATTAAACAATTAAGTTCTCATAGTAAGCGCACACTGCAGCCCATGCGTGTTTATGCGTGGGTGCTTGTGTGTGTATGTGTTTGTGTATGTGTGTGTGTATGTGAGTGTGTGTATGCGTTTGTGTCTGTATGCGTGTGTGTGTATGTATGCCTGTGTGTGCGTTGCGTGTTTCTTGTGTAAGCTGAAAGACGCGAAAAATTATTGAAATATCTATTGCTCCAAGGGTTCAGGGGATCTCGTAGTCGAGCTGTCTCGACAAGAGCTTTCTTACTTGTAATTTTTTCATATTTCTGCTTTGCTTGTTGATTAGAGATTTCCAGATAACCGCTTTTTAATTTTGTTATATAGTTAGTGCTTTAAACTTAACTTTGACCACTAGGTTTCTTTTAATTTATACGGAAACCCATCATTCAACACAGGTGGAAATTGTGACGTTTATTTTTTATGACATTTGTCTTACGGCAAGGATTTGAACCTCGATACGAGAATTAATCTCGTACCACCATTATGCCTGCAAAATTCTTGTATTTTCGTTTTAAGACTCGTCTCGGCACGGATTTGAACCTAGGTATTGTCAATACCACCATTTAGCCACGATTTCTTTTATGTTATAGAATTATCTAGTGCACCAACACTTGCTAGAAATTATGTTATTATTTATTGTATTATTATGTTATGGCAAGGACTTTCACCCCATTACGTTACAAATCGCAGAAGTACTTCGTAATTTTGCCAACAATTGCCCAATCGGATTGGAACCATTTATTTGTACTTGCTTTTTTAATAAGTTATTTTTATAGAATTATTGACACGTCACCATTTCCCTTTACTTCCGTGAAGAATGCGGGTACCTGCTCGGGCGCCAGTTAAGCGCTCCCACACTAGAGTACTAGTGATTGGGGACGCTGTGTTGGGTTCTTGTGAATATATAACAACTTTGTGTTCAATGAAATAATATATTTTATACAATTTGGAACAATAGGTCTAAACTCTCTCTAGTCCGAATATAAACTGAACTAAATCTGTTCAACTGGTTAGGGTCTCCCCTTGAATGTCTGACTGGACTCTCCAGCCTCCTTAGATTGTCGAAAGTCTTAACTTACATTATACATTATACATTATACATTATACATTATAAATTATAAATTATAAATTATAAATTATAAATTATACATTATACATTATACATTATACATTATACATTATACATTATACATTATACATTATACATTATACATTATACATTATACATTATACATTATACATTATACATTATACATTATACATTATACATTATACATTATACATTATACATTATACATTATACATTATACATTATACATTATACATTATACATTATACATTATACATTATACATTATACATTATACATTATACATTATACATTATACATTATACATTATACATTATACATTATACATTATACATTATACATTATACATTATACATTATACATTATACATTATACATTATACATTATACATTATACATTATACATTATACATTATACATTATACATTATACATTATAAATTATACATTATACATTATACATTATACATTATACATTATACATTATACATTATACATTATACATTATACATTATACATTATACATTATACATTATACATTATACATTATACATTATACATTATACATTATACATTATACATTATACATTATACATTATACATTATACATTATACATTATACATTATACATTATACATACATATACGGTTACCAAGAAGTGGTTCTGGTTGCCAAGCAATGGTGCGGTCAAGTTGCTGACGTTAATGAAGCCAACAGAAGAGCCACAACAAATAAGGTAAAACGTGTACATATGTATATTATTTTGCTGGATTAATCGCGTATTCAGTTGAAATTGGATAAAGCAATCAGGATGTCGTTCAAGGATGTGCGTGGTGAGTGCTTGACCAGTAGCTGTGGCTGCGGCTTAAACTTTTTCAATTTTTGCTATCCTATCATCCTTCTTGTTGATGCTCTCATCCATCAGATTTGAGTGAGCAACTCAAACTGTTGGGCTTTTCACGGGTGCTTCCGCTTCAAGCACTCGCCACTCATCATGGTAGCCTAGCTAACTTTTATATTGTGGCCGAGGTAATACAGTGGGTCTCTGGGCTGCTGGAGCCGGGCGTTATTCTGGCCGGTAATGTGGAAACGGAGGAACAGCGTGTGCTGCTCATACGCGTCGCCACTGAATTCTTTGTGACAAAGGCAGCCATAAAGCTTAATCCGCGTAAACTTTATGCCGCCGCGGCTGTTAGTTGCACTGAGTTACAGAAGATAACAAGTTTGCTCATTGCGCCTACACGCATAGAAGAAGATGTCGAGAATAGAGATGAGGAAAGTGAGCAAGATTGCAGTCTCAAGCAAGCAGACATTGGCGACAAAATGGATGAGTTGCGTCGAGCTCGCGACCTATCCTCGGATTTAACACAACGCGGCGCTGGTCTTTTCGATCTGCTATCTAAGGAGCTGATCAACAAGTCAGGGCGTGTAGCGCAGGTACAACGCGCAATGGAACTAGTCAGCGTGGAGCGCACTTTGAAGAACGCTATCCAGGCCAGCCACTTGAAACTGCAGTCCAGTCGTGCCCAACTAGAGAATGCACGTGTCGAACTTAATGCCCTCAACTCGAAGCTTCTGCGCAAGCGAGCAGAGCTGGAGAGAACCAAGCAGAGACTAGAGGCACTCCAAAAAATTCGGCCCGCTCACATGTCAGAGTTTGAGGAATGCGAGAGGGAGCTGCAGCAATTATTTCAGCGTTACTTTCTACGATTTCATTTGCGTGATGCGCTGCGTAATTACCTGAAAGCACGCATCAAGCGACGTGGTTCACCCATTTCATCGCCAATACTTCAGAAGCCGACAGAGAGCTCGATGTCATTTATACCAGAGAGCCTTATCAAGGACGATGACGATGAAGACGAAGATGGTGTTCATATGGGCAACGGACTGTCACGAGAGGCGGCCTTCGGTCTGGACTCAGAAATACCCGACATACGCGACGAAGATTTAATGCTACAGAGCACCACAGCAGACAGAGGTGTCCATCCCGGGTCGGTTGTCGGCTCGTCAACGGCGGCACCCAATAAGAGACCTGGGACGGCCACCTCTCGCAAACGTCCTACCACTGGATGTATTCGAAGAGCGGCAGCCACGGTATCTGCAGCTACCTCAAGCGGCGCACGCCCCACACGCATTGGACGAGATGGACCAAGTAGCAACATGCTCATTCGCTTTGGAGATAACGACAGTAGCTTTAGCAGTTCCGATAGTGATTTCAACGTGGGTATGGGCCCTGGCAAGGGTGATGATGATTGTAAGTCTGAAACGTATATTATTAACGTCAACTGATACATATTCCTCCTTACTCTCTATTTCCTATTTCCAAATCTTCACCTAGTTGATCTTAACTCTATCGATGATATTAGCATATCAAAACTAACGGGCGAGCTGCCACTGCGCCCGAAAACGGCGATCAAGCCGGAGCACAATAGCGACGAGGATTTTTAGCCAAACGAGCTGATGAATAGATTTATATACTATAAATGAGTTATTAATGTAATATTTGTAAACTAGCGATATTCCCTTAATCTTTTATTTATCCACCATTAATAGGCCATTGATGTTCCATCAAACTATAATTAATACACAATTAATGTGTTATACGACTATATTCGTTTATTATGCAGACACGCCAAATACATTTTCTCTTCAATCTATGCAACACACATACGCACACATACCAGCATTTGTAAATATATGTACATACATACATACATATAAAAACAAGTGAAAAAGCTTAAGTCGAGACTGCTCGACTACGAGATTCCCTGAGCCCTTCGAGCAACTGATATTTCACAAGAAACACCCACACGCTCACAGACACACAAGCATGGGCTGCAGTGTGGGTGAGGGGATGGACATAAGGGTCCATCGATGAGTTATAATAAAAATCGAAATTCTATAAAATGCATATAAATCTACATTTAAAATTTGGAGATTCTAGCTTTAAAGGTGTAGGAGATATCATTAAACAACTTATTTTTGATAGGGGTTTAATCGATAACAAAATATCGGGAGTAGTCATCAAGTTTTGAGGAAAAACTCGATATGCGCGTGACAAATAACACAAGTCTCTAGCTCTTATATACAGCGTGACCGAATATGGTATTTTAAATACTTTTTGGTATTTTATCAGCTCTGATTTTGCTCAAAAGTATTTTAATGGTAGCATTTTTCTTAGATTTTATGGTATTATATGGTATTTTTGGTTTGGTCATACTTTAAGTCTTAATGAATCGAATGCTTAATGCTTAAGACTTGCTTAATTTTAAAACAAATAAATAGAAAACATGAGCAATAAGCAAAAATATAGAGCTGAGTGGGAGACTATGCCGGAAAATTAAAAATGGCTGGGCAGGAGCGCAAATAATATGGATGCGTGCCAGACTGACATTTTGAGTAGGCTGGCGTCACTTAAGCAGCACGCGGCTACACAAAAGCATAAAGATAATATGAAATACTTCTGTGGAAAATCAAAGGTGAGTTCTTTATATGCTTTTAAATTATATGTAAATAATAACTATTCTTTTTTCAGATTCAATCGTTTTTTAAAGAGTCGGACAACACTCTAACTACCTCTATCAAAAAGGCAGAAATTATGTTTGCTGCAACGATTGCTGAACACAACATATCAATGAGAGCAATGGACCACATTAGCTATGTGATCAAGTGCCATTGCGCAAGGATTTTGCTGCAAACGCACCAAAGCTGCCTTCGCTTACGTACAATGAATTTTAAGCATTTAATTAATTTTCAGACTTTAAATATATATTGGAATATGGAATTGAATACGAATGCATATTGTTCTAGTTTTATGTTGGACTGAAATATTATTATACCCTGAACCCATTGAAAATGGGAAATCAGGGTATAATGGTTTTGTTGAAATGTATGTAACAGGCAGAAGGAGGCGTGGCAGACCCCACAAAGTATATATATTCTTGATCAGGGTGACGAGCTGAGTTGATTTGGCCCTGTCCGTCTGTCCGTATGTTTGAACGCGTCGATTTCCGAAGATATAAGAGCTAGAGACTTCAAATTTTTTGTAAAATGTTCGTAATTACAGCGCGGATATCGAGTTTATTATTCAAAATCGATAACTCATCCCGATCTTTTTTTATCGATAAAAACCGTATCGAAACCCAGTTATAAAATTATATCTTCTACACCTTTATTGCTAGAGTCTCCAAAATTTTAATGTATGCTTATATGCAATTTATACAATTTCGGTTTTTGTTAAAATTTACTTTCCACCCCTACATTCACCCCCTCACCATCACATTTGCAAAAGGCGTATTTCAAATACTAGAGACTTGTGCTTTGACAAATACATGCATATCCATGTTATAATCATTATCTGTAAGTTTCATGAAGATGTCCACAAAAAAAGTTATTAAACAATTAAATTCTCGTAGTAAGCGCACACTGCCGCCCATGCGTGTGTAAATGTTTATGTGTATGTGTGTGTGGGTGTGTGTATGTATGTATGCCTGTGTGTGTGTGTGTGTGCGTGTTTCTTGTGTAAGCTGAAAGACGCGAAAAATTATTGAAATAGCTAATACTCCAAGGGTTCAGGGGGTCTCGTAGTCGAGCAGTTTCGACTAGAGCTTTCTTACTTGTTTCTATATATAATAAGTCAGTTATTATTTTTACATATTATAATTTGAATTTCCAGACGATTTATTTGTTATTGTATTATAGTGGTATTTTGTAAAATATGAAATAGTATGTTATAGTATATTTTTTAGACCAAATTGGTATTTCTCGTTTGGTCCGGCGCGGTCACCCTGCTTATATATTCTGAGATCGACGTGTTCTTACATACGGACGGACGGACAGACAGTCGGACAGAGCTAAATCGACTCAGCTCGTCGGCCTGATCAAGAATATACATATATATAAACAAAGAATTGGTTTCTTGGCGGTTCCTCGAAGAAGCTATTTATAAAAGTTACTGAAAATAATTTGGGACCACTCGGTCCACAGGTGGACCTAAATCATCACATCGCGGCATACAATTTTGGCTTTGCTTGAAGTATGGGAGCGGGCAGCTGCCTTCTGTCTGTAGACATCGCTGTGCATTGAGGACGAGGATGAGGAGTAGTCAATGTGGCTGTTGAATTGCGATTGCTCCTGGCGTTCCAGGAAACTGTCAGCTATCGCGCGATCCATGCCAGTATATTGAAAGTTCTGAGCACCACTCAACACATCTGTCTCGGAGTTGTCAACAGCACGACCACGTCGTCGTTGCTCATTGAACTCTGTCAGCTTGGTGCTCTTATTGGCGCGATAGGTGTCCGTTAAACTAACCGGATGGGCATAGAGTACAGGCGGTCTCAGGTGGGGTAGTGTCATGCCTCTATAGTGTGGTGGGTGAGCCGGCTGCAGCATGCTAGCCCCAAGGCTGGGAGGCATGCGTGGTTGTATCTGCAAATAGTTCAAGTTTTTATTTCTCAAAAATATTTATATTTATTTATATATAACATTTACCACATTGCCGGTAACTGTAGCTGGTATGAGCATAATGGAACGTGAAGCGGGCGTAAGCTTACGCCCTGATTTCTGTGGAAGTGGGAACGTGCCGATGTGTGTGGCATACATCCACAAGGCTGCCAGTTTCTTGTTGTTTACCTGAACAGAATGATAAGAGAACCATTCACAGCTGAAGAATTTTTCTATTACCTGTAGGCTAACCTTTTCATTGACATTTAAAGACGTTGCTTTAATGTACTGGTCCGCCTTTTGTTGATCCAATGCTATTGACGATTCGCTTGACTTTATGACATCGCGTAGCTCATTAGGTTGTGATCTGCAAGTAAATAAATTGTAATATATTAATATTTCAGTTTTATTTTCCAACTTTAAAAAATTTAGGTACTACTAATTATAAATGTCGTTTATTTACATAATGATGGCAAAGTATTACCACTGACCAGAGAACACATATACATACACTACGCGTCATCAGGTTAGCGCCCCCCTTTACACTCATTAATAGCGTATTTTAAGCTGTCGCTTATTTTTGCCAAACAATTTTTTGACAGCATTGAAAATGGGTTCAAGGTATAACAAGTAAGAAAGCTCTAGTCGAAACTGCTTGACTACGAGATCCCAGAACCCTTCGAGCAACTGATATTTCAATAATTATTTGCATATGCACACATACACGCACACACACAGACATACTACGCACGCATAAATACGCATTGGCTGCTTACTATGGATTCAGATTATGAATATAACATAGATATGCATGTATTTGCCAAAGCAGAAGTCCCTAGTATTTGAAATACGCCTTTTACAAATGTGAGGGTGAGGGGGTGAATTAGAGGTGGGGGGTAAATTTTGACAAAAAAAATTTTGATAAAAAATTTGGAGATCGGATGTCCACAAAAAAAGTTATTAAACAATTAAGTTCTCATAGTAAGCGCACACGGCGCCCATGCTTGTGTCTGTATGTGTGTATAAATGTTTGTGTATGTGTGTATAAATGTTTGTGTAAGTGTGTGTGTGTGTATGTATGCCTGTGAATGTCTGTGTGTGTGTGTATGTATGCCTGTGTGTGCGTGCGTGCGTGTGTGTGTGTGTTTCTTGTGTAAGCTGAAAGCCGCGAAAAATTATTGAAATTGCTATTGCTCGAAAGGTTCAGGGGATCTCGTAGCCGAGCAGTCTCGACTAGAGCTTTCTTACTTGTTTTATTTGACTTTATTTCATTTAATTTTTATACCCAGAACCCATTGAAAATGGGAAATCAGGGTATAATGGTTTTGTTAAATGTATGTAACGGGCAGAAGGAGACGTGGCAGACCCCACAAAGTATATATATTCTTGATCAGCACGACGAGCTGAGTCGATATAGCCCTGTCCGTCAGTCCGTCCGTCCGTCCGTCCGTATGAGTGCGTCGATCTCAGAAGTTATAAGAGCTAGAGAGCTTTATTATTTCGATAAATCATCCGATAACTTTTTATCGAGAATAATCGAAAATTGATTTTGTTTTTTTAGCCTTATTTGAACACTGTTAGACCTGGAAACTTCAAATTTGCGTTGTATATAAAGTTAATCAATACAAAGATTAACAATACTAGAGACTTGTGCATTGGAATGTACATACATATTCACCATATGATTACGCTCTGAAAGTTTTATTAAGATTGTATGTCCACAAAAGAAATTATTCAACAAATAAATTCTCAAAATATTGCTCACACTGTAGCGCAGCCCAAGCGCAGTCGCTGCTTACTGCGCAGTTAGCAGAGCGCAGACTTATGCGTGCGTGTGGATGCATGTGTATGTATGTGTGCATAAAAGAAGTGCAGAATGATTAGAATATCAGGTATCTCCTAGTTGAGCAGTCTCGACTAGAGTCTTCTTACTTGTTTTTGCTCCCTTTTCAAATTCTTATGGCTAATTTGATTTTTCATCTTCAAGCAAGCTCATGTTTTTGTTGAAATATAGAAGAATATTTACATTTTTAGGCTTCAATGCCGATCTCCGATGAGAAATGATTTTTCTACGTAGCGAGCACAGCTATTTTTAACTTGAATTGCAACACATAATGGCACGTCACAGTCAAATAATTGATGCCACTTGGGGAAGTCCAGCTATCAGTTGAGACAGAGCTATAATTTACTTGCTTAAGCTGATTCTTCACTTTAGTTTTCAGCTCATCATACATATTTTAAATATGCACATTTTGTAGCATTGTGCGGCTTAGAAATACATACCGTGGATCCAATAAATTTATTAAATATTTGAAGCCTTCGTCTTCCACGATACTGTACAGTTGTACATCTCGAGCTACCATTCGAGCAACCGCTCTGTCGATATTAATTTATTTTGATGATGACATTTCATATGTGTCATGGCATTTTACAAATTTATTTTATTTAAATTGAGATGCTCTAGCAAATTCGACGTATTGCCACTTGTTCTGTATTCTTTACCGCAAAGGCGACACTTGGCAAACATTTTGTTTTGGCACTTGTCAAAGGATGATCAGCCATGGTCGGATCACCGGTCGTATCTCTCTTATCTTTAATATTTCATAATTATTAATAAAGTTCAGGCGACTACCATGCATTGCTTTTTATTATTACTTACTTGACGGTTTTAGGAATTTATCCATACTACAATCCTACAATCAAATGTCACAAAGAAATAAATATATCGATGGTGCAAAAAAGCCATCGATCTATCGGGATATTCAATATCAATCGATAGATCGGTAACAGCCATCGATAGATTTGCAGCCCCAATTAGTGATGTAAGTATGAATGAAAACATCGATGTCGATGTCCATCAATATTTTCAAAATCAAGCATCGATGTTGGATTAATACATCGGATTGAAATTTCGATGCATCGATGTATTTTTATTATTTATTGTCTTTTACTTTTTTACTGGTGCCCTCATGGCGTTATTATTATTAAAAAAAATAAAAAATAAAAAATATTCAACATTATTTAACAAACATAAAAATAAAAATGAGCTTTCATAGCAGTATTTTGCTTAAGGCCTAACTTTAAAATTTTTAACATAGCATATATAAATAGTCATAGCAGTTTTATACATTTCACTAAAACTAAACAGAATTACATATTATTTTAGAGGGAACAGACAATGATTTCAACGGAAAAAATTTGATTGCAATTTCGAATAAATTAGGACAGATACTTTTCATACCTTCCCAAAAAGACATAAGGTTGCTTTCAAATGGGGTTAAGTGCATTCGCAGATAATGTTTTGCAAAACATCGATGCATCGTTCAACATCGGTATCAGCACTAACCACAGAACACATAGACCGGACAAGCAGTGTAAAGCGTTTTTCGCACTTTTTTGCGAGCATTAGTTCCCAGACCACTTCGTATTTGCTCGGCTCCTCACTTTTAGGGTCGGGCTACGAAAATATGGGAACACAAAATCATTCGCTTCATGCGCTCGGCCGAGATGGTCGACTGTTGAACAAAAGATCCCTCTGTGCTCAATCCCAGTGGCGACGACATGAATGAGGTCTGTTGAAATAATGCATTACATACGAAAAAAAAAGTAATGCATTACCTATGAACATTTTTTTCAGCGCATTTGTAATGTACAAAATAAAAAGTGCTACTCATACGACAGAATCGAGCTCTTGTCAACTTCGTTTCTGTATGCCCCTTCCCCGCTAACCAACAAACGATTTTCGTCTTTCGTTGCGTCGCGACGAAATCGCCGAATTTCGTTTTGGACTTTACCGTTTTTTGCATGGAATGCGTGTCTTCTTTCGTTTGGTTTTTTTGTCTATGCCTATTCCTTTTGTGTGTATAGTGTTAATGAGTGTAAATACAAGTTAAACAAGTAAGAAAGCTCTAGTCGAGACTGCTCGACTACGAGATCCCCTGAACCCTTGGAGCAATAGATATTTCAATACTTTTTCGCGACTTTCAGCTTACACAAGAAACACGCACACACACACACACACACGCACGTACGCACACACAGGCATACATACACACACAATCACCCACGCATAAGCACACATGGGCTGCAGTGTGCGCTTACTATGAGAATTTAATTGTTTAATAAATTTTTTTGTAGATATACGATCTTCATAAAACTTTTAGATTATGATTATAACATGAATATGCATGTATTTGCCAAAGCACAAGTCTCTAGTATTTGAAATACGCCTTTTACAAAAGTGATGGTGAGGGCGTGAATATAGGGGTGGGGGGTAAATTTTAACAAAAACCGAAATTGTATAAATTGCATATAAGCATACATTAAAAATTTGGAGACTCTAGCAATAAAGGTGTAGAAGATATAATTTTATAACTGGTTTTCGATAAGGTTTTTTATCGATAAAAAAGATCGGGATGAGTTATCGATTTTTAATGATAAACTTGATATGCGCGCTGTAATTACGGACATTTAAAAAAAAAATTGAAGTCTCTAGCTCTTATATCTTCGGAAATCGACGCGTTCAAACATACGGACAGACGGACATAGCTATATCGACTCAGCTCGTCACCCTGATCAAGAATATATATACTTTATGGGGTCTGCCACGCCTCCTTCTGCCTGTTACATACATTTCAACAAAACCATTATACCCTGATTTCCCATTGAAAATGGGTTCAGGGTATAAAAACATTCATTCTGATAGGCAAACCCACGATCATTGAATGAAATCAGGTACTTAAACATAAGCGCGCCTCTTCAATTAAAACCCAAAATCGTTCACACCATTCTAAGTTGAGGGAGGCACACGCCTATGTTCATCTCCCAAACATACAAACAAAGATATACACACACGCACATGTAAAGGCACACAGGCATACAAATGGCTCTACAAGATATATCCCATAATTGTGAGCAGCGCATCCCATGCGTATATATGTGAGGACTTCACAAGATCGACCAAATGCAAATGCTGGACTGTAAAATTGCTACGAGCGCTCGAGCGGCAAGAGCTTCGCACACAGGCATAGTTCATAGTACATGCAGCATACTGTAAGTGTGTGTGTGCATGCTCGTCGCGAAAACATTTTAATTATGCGCACCAACGCTTTCATACCCTTCCCACAAATAATAACGAAAACGCATGGCAAACGGTTTGAAAAATTCGGTATACTCTTCACACAGAAGGGAAGGCATGGGCTCTCGCTGCGAAGAAATTTCAATTTGTGAGCAGTGTTGCCGAAACTTTTTCAGCAAGAGTAGCAAAACCGAAGTCTGAAAGTAGCTAGAAGTAGCCAACTTTCTTCTAAAATAGCTGAAAAAGTAGCAAAAAAGAAAACAGTGCTGTTTTTTCATAAAAAGTCGACTTTATTAATTTAATTCTGATAATATCTCAATATGACCACCAGCTCGTCATTTTCACCATTGTCGCTTTTATAATTTGCCTTTTTAAGGTAGTTGGGTGGAACGCTATACTCATAGCAACATTTGCCATATCGGCGTAATCCATATGTTTTGTGGACATACAATCTTAATGAAACTTTCAAAACGTGATCATATGGCTAAAATGTGTGTACATTCCAAAGCACAAGTCTCTAGTACTTGAAATGCGTTTTTTACAAAATGATGGCGTCAATGGGTCAGGGTATAAAAACTGATAAGAAATGAATTTTGCATAGCATATTAGAAAGCTTACCTATTCTTCAGTTGTAGTATTAATTCTACACAAAGCTCAGTACATTTAAATCATTTACATTTAAAAAGTATCGAAGCGAATTTTGTTATAAGTTCGCTTGCATTTTAGCTAAATTTAATATTTGAAAATAGCCAGATTTGTAGCTAATAGCTGTTTGAAAATTTTTGTAGCAATCGGCCTTAAAAAGTAGCCTGATCTAGCTACAAAATAGCTGATTCGGCAACACTGTTTGTGAGCGCTGCTTGTGCTCACATGCATACATGCATATACATATTTGAGAGAGCAGAGAGCATCGTGAGAGAGAGAGAGCAAGGGAAACATTCAGCGCAGAGGGATCTTTTGTTCAATATTTGACCATCTCGGTCGAGCGCATAAAGCGAAATGATTGTGCTTTCGTATTTTTTTGTAGCTCGAACCCAAAAAGTGAAGAGCCGAGCAAATACGAAGTGTCTGGGAGATAACTCCCGAAAAAAGTGTGCAAAACGCTGTACACTACTTGTTCGGTCTATGTGTTCTCTGGTTAGTGGTAGTTGGCAGTAGAAGTTGCAGCCATCTATGCGCTATCACAAAATACCCAACTATCGTATAGTTCGATATACATCATGTGTAAACGCATTGTACATCTCTTATTGCATAGCGCTGTCCTGTTGTTTCGTCAAAGAACGTATTAAATCAGATTTAGTAGAAGCTGAAACTTTCGGGGTCAGTGCTCAACGCTTGATTTGATTACTTATTTACAAGCTAATTCAGTGCGTCAATGCGGTGCACATAGGTTCTCAAACAAATTATTGATTTTTACAAAAGTACAGATACATAAATAGATAAGTGGGTAAACTGTTGTTTTTTTTGTTTGGCTAAGAGCAAATCATAATTAATAATACAGTCGACTCTCGTTATTTCGAAATTCAAGGGACTCTTAAAATATTTCGAATTGTCGAGTGTTTAACCATATGAGTACGAATTACCGCGTCTTAGCAATGATTTTTAGTTCGAATTACTGAGTGATAACTTTGAATTAATGAGAGGTTCGAAATAACGAAATAAATAATACGATAGTTTTCAAATCATCGCATTAAATGTAAAATATTTAATAAAATAAGTATTTTGAATTCAACAAAAGTAAGAAGAATACTCTAGCCGATAGTCGTCAAGTAGCAATCGATATTAAAGTAGTCGCAATCGATTCCAAGTACACAAAATAAAGATAAGCCTAGTCTAAAAGCCATTTCCGCTGGGTTCATTCCCATTTTAATTTTATTTACCATATATTGCCAACCGTCATTTAAAAATAACAGCGAAATAAGGACAGCGTAATTGGCGAACTGCAATCAAAGCATAAAAACAACAGCAAGCTCGCCACGTCAGTGGGAGTGAGCGAGAAGCAACACCAGCTAAGTGCAGCTGCGATTAAGACCAAACCCCAGAACGTTAACAAACGGCTTTTGTGGCAACTGTTCACTCCCCCAGCAATGTTAAATAACTTTAAAAACCGCTTTATATCGGCCATAGAGCCAGATCTGAGCTCTGCCGATCTGTTGCCAGATAAGTTTCCCTATGGACGGCCTCCATTCTTACAGCTGCTCACTGCCGACGAATTACGTGCCTCTGCTAATCATAATGTTCGACCGATTATTGTGCCGCGCGACCTAAACTTATTGCCCTGGGGCACAGGTTATGCCGAGTGCATAAACTCTGGCAAATCCAAGTGGAATGAAGATCAAGCTGCCTTTTGTCGGTAAGTCCCATTAATCTTGTCCATTAGCCAGCCAAATATTAAGGTGGAAACAATAAATGCAAAAAATATGTACATATATGAATATTGCTAAATAGTTAAACTATTATAGAAAATTAAAATACAAAACCAACCATGTTTTCTTGTACGAAAGACCATAAATATTGCATATACTCAAATAGTTAAAAATGATATCCCATTGTCAATGGACTCAGGCTATAAACAAGAAAGCTCTAGTCGAGACTACTCGACTGCAAGATCCCCTTCAAGCAACAGCTATTTCAATCATCTTTCGCGTATTTCTGCTTACATAAGAAACACACACACACGCACGAACACAAAAATCGAATCTACATTTAACATTTGGAGACTTTAGCTCTGAAGATGTAGGAGATATAATTTTATAATTGATTTTCGATAAGGCTTTTTATCGATACGAAATAGCTGGATGAGTTATCGATTTTTGGTGATAAGCTCGATATCCGCGCAATATATGCAGACATATTTAAAAAAATTGTCTCTAGCTCTTATATGTATCTTCTGAGATCGACGCGTTCATACATACGGACAGACGGACGGACAGACAGACAGACAGGCGAACAGGGCTAAAACGACTCAGCTCGTCACCCTGATCAAGAATATATATACCTTGTGGGGTCTGCCACTCCTCCTAATGGTTTTGTTGAAATGTATTTCAACAAAACCATTATATCCTGATTTCCCGTTTTCAATGGGTTCAGGGTTTAAAAATATCGCACGACATGCTACAATATATATTGATGATTATTAAGAAGTAGACTAACTAAATTATCATACCTTCACAGACAAGTGCTGACGGATCCGGAAAAAAAGTATCCCGATCTGCCCTATACGTATTTTGGAATCTTCGATGGCCATGCTGGCTATGGGGCCGCATTAGCCGCCTCTTATCAATTTCATGATATACTACACGAGATGCTGGTGGACTGCAGCGAGCTGTTGCTGCCACGCGATGAGGTGAACGACAACAGCAAATCTCATCAAAATCCGACATTTCCGCATCCGACCTACTTTCAGCGGCGGGTCAGCAGGGATGAACTTATTATCGGCGCACTAGAGAGCGCCTTTTTCCATATGGATTGGCTAATAGCACAAGACAGGAACTACTACAGAGATGCAGGTGGCTGCACGGCCTGCGTCACACTCTTTATTGATGGCAAAATGTATGTGGCTAATGCTGGTGATAGTCGTGCTGTGCTCTGTCAGAGACGAGCGGGAGCTGGAGTCGCAGCTAGCGTAATGCAGTCAACAGCAGACCCCAATAAAACTCAGACGAACCCGATGGACGTCGATAACAGTTACCCGACGGCCTATTCTGCCGATCATACGCCGGAAACAGAACGTGAACGTTTAATGAACGTGGCACGCTTGAAGCCCCAGCTAATGGGCCAACATTATGTGGCCATGGAATATGCGAAGCGGCCACATATTACAGACATGGGAAAACGTATACTATGTCGCCAGGGCACCATGAAGGGTTGGTCATACAAGACGTTGACGCGCAATGATCTGCGCATACCTGTGGTTAACGGCGAAGGTAAACGCAGCCGATTGCTGGGCACGCTTGGCGTAACTCGTGGCTTTGGTGATCATGATTTATTAGCCATTAATACAGGCGTACAAATAAAGCCATTCCTAACGCCACATCCCGATGTGCGACAGCGTGATCTCAGTCAGGTTGTTAGCATACCCGATGAACACAACGAGGATGGTGATTATGGTATACTCGTAATGGCTACCGATGGACTCTGGGATGTGTCTGAAAATGATGCCGTCTCACGCATCGTCTTCCAAATGTTGTCACGTTACCCCAAGGAGAAGCATCGTTATACAATGGCCGCCCAGGAACTGGTAGCACGCGCCCGTGGAAAAATCAACGATTCTGGTCATTGGCGCCTAGCGGACAGCAAAGCTGCGGCTACTGTCGATGATATTTCAGTTATTGTGATTCCAGTTTATCAGTATTACAAAGAGCATATTGACTGGACGCACAACGATACGCGTGAACTTGAGAGGCGACGGCGCAAGGCAGCCGAAGACAATATGGCCCAGGAAGCAGTAAATGATTTTAATGACATTGCTGCTGAAGAGGCGCATGTTGTGGAAGAACGACCGCAGCAAGTAATCGCAAAGGCGGAACAGGTGATTGCAGTGCCGAACCAAGAAGAGGAACGGCAGAAGGAAGATCAGCATGTTCTGTCTGAATCAGAGGAAACTCTTGTTGAGAAACCAAACGATAACACACCACTTCAGGCGCGCCTCAAAACAGTTACCGAAACACTTCAGCAAGTACAGCTGGAAGCCCGTGCAAAAGGTATATAACTTGACCAATATCTCACTACTTTAACTTAACCTGTTTTCCAATCACAGCAACATTGGAGGAGAATACAGAGCTGTCAGCAGAAGCAACGTCAACTGTAACAACAACCACATCAGCAAATAAACAACGCAACAATCGCAAAGGGAAAGGCAATAAGCAGTAGAGAGAGAATGCGATAATCTATATATTATTATAATATATATAAATATAAAGTATATATACAATATATATATATATATATATATATATATATATATATATATATATATATATATATATATATATATATATATGTTTTCAGAGGGGAATTTCAGTTAGGTTCAAGAACGTGCATTGTACAATAATTTTAGTGTATGAATAGATTTGTTTTTGCTTTTTTTTTTTATCGTCATTCGTATATCTCAATTTATGTATAAACACAAACGTATTCTTTGAAAATATAATAAAGAGACGCAAAGACCAATTAAAAACAAGTAAGAAGGCTCTAGTCGACTGCTGCACTAGGAGATACCTTGAACCCTCCAAGGTGATATTCCAATCATTCTGCACTTCTTTTATGCACACATACACATGCATCCACACGTACAATAAGCACGTGCTCTGCTAACTGCAGTTAGCAGCGACAGTGCTTGGGCTGCGCTGCAGTGTGGGCAATATTATGAGAATTTATTAGTTGAATAATTTGATCTGTAGACATACAATCTTAATGAAACTTTCTGAGTGTGATCATATGGCTAGAATGTGTGTACATTCCGAAGCAAAGTCTCTAGTACTTGAAATACGTTTTTTACAAATTGGGTCGCACCCAGGGGTACCCAAAATGTAAATTACAAAATCTTCGTATCGATCAACTGTATATACACAGTAAATCTGAAGTCTCTAGGCCTATAAGTGTTCAAACAAGTCTGAAATACCAAAATAAAAAATTTGGATTATAATAAACTTGTATTGCGTATGGTACACACGAGTATGCATTCCAAATTTCAGCTCTCTAGCTCTTATAACTTCTGAGATCGACGCACTCATACGGACGGACCGACGGATAGGGCTATATCGATTCAGCTCGTCGTGCTAATCAACAATATATACATATACTATATATGTATAGTTTATGGGGTCTGCGATGATTCCTTCAGCCCGTTACTTTTTCACAAAACCATTATACCCCGATTTTCTATTTTCAATGGATTCAGGGTATAAAAAAAAAACAAGTAAGAAGAGTCGAGACTGCTCAACTACGAGATCTCCTGAACCCTTCGAGCAACTGATATTTCAATAATTATTCGCATATGCACACACACAGACGCATTGGCTTACTATGGGACATATGATTTCCCCATTTTCAATGGGTTCAGGGTATAAAAAAACAAGTAAGAAACGATTTCTTAGAAATCTCTAGTCAATGCTGTAGGATGAGATCCCTTGAACCCTGCGAGCAACTTCTAATTATGTATATTTCAATAATAGCTTCTTTTCTGCCTACACAAGAAACAGCACAGCACTCACACAGGCATATGTACTAGAGAGCTGCATGGCCGCACTCATAGCCTAGCAAAATAGAGTGCACTTGAATTGAGACTGAGTGAGTGAGTGATAGGTATACAATGTGTTGATAGAGTGGGAGATAGCATGCACTCAATATCTCATATCTCCCTGCCTTTAGTAAAAAGAATGAGAATAAATAAGACGTAAAGAGCAATACAACAGTTAACCAAAGCATTTCGGCGTCGAGGCACTCGAGTTTTTGAATGCATATATCTTCGTGTCAACACTTCGTATTTGCTCGACTCCGTCGCTTGAGGCTCGAGCAGTGAAAAAATCTCACCCCAAGATCAGTGCGCTTCGAACCAAAACCCATTGAAAATGGAAAATCAGGGTATAATGGTTTTGTTGAAATATATGTAACAGGGAGAAGGAGGCGTGGCAGACCCCACAAAGTATATATATTCTTGATCAGGGCGACGAGCTGAGTTGATTTGGCCCTGTCCGTCTGTCCGTATGTTTGAACGCGTCGATCTCAGAAGATATAAGAGCTAGAGACTTTTTTCCTAGCTCCGTCTATAGCACGCGCATATCGAGTTTTGCTTTAAATATCGATAACTTGCGCCGTGAAAAACATTATCGAAAACCAGTAATCAATTTATATCTCCCACATCTTTAAAGCTAGAGTCTCCAAATTTTTTTGTACGCCTTTTACAAAAATCCGAAATTGTATAAAATACATATAAGTCTAAATTTAAAATTTGGAAACTCTAGCTCTAAAGGTGTAGGAGATATAAGTAAAAAACTAACTTCCGATAAGGGTTTTAATCGATAATTAAATATCGGGAGTAGCTATCGATATTTAGAGAAAACCTCGATATTCGCATGATATACACGGACCTAGGAGTCTCTAGCTCTTATATCTTCTGAGATCGACGCGTTCATACATAAGGAGTGACGGACAGGGCCAAATCGACTCAGCTCGCCGAGCTGATCAATATATATACTTTGTGGGGTCTGCCACGTCTTCTTCTGCCTGTTACATACTTTTAACAAAACCATTATACCCCGATTTCCCATTTTCAATGGGTCCAGCTCTAAAGGTGTAGGAGATATAAGTAAAAAACTAACTTCCGATAAGGGTTTTAATCGATAATTAAATATCGGGAGTAGCTATCGATATTTAGAGAAAACCTCGATATTCGCATGATATACACGGACCTAGGAGTCTCTAGCTCTTATATCTTCTGAGATCGACGCGTTCATACATAAGGAGTGACGGACAGGGCCAAATCGACTCAGCTCGCCGAGCTGATCAATATATATACTTTGTGGGGTCTGCCACGTCTTCTTCTGCCTGTTACATACTTTTAACAAAACCATTATACCCCGATTTCCCATTTTCAATGGGTTCAGGGTATACAAAATAGAAAACAAGTAAGAAAGCTCTAGTCGAGTGTGCTCGACTACGAGATCCCCTGAACCCTTCGAGCAATAGCTATTTCTATAATTTATCGCGTCTTTCTGCTTACACACACACACGCATACACACACATACACACACACACATACACACAAACATACACAAACACGTACACAAACACGTACACACACAAGCACCCACGCATAAACACGCATGGACTGCAGGGTGGGCTTACTATGGGAAGTTAATTGTTTAATAACTTTTTGTGGACATACGATCTTCATGAATCTTTCAGATCGTAATTATAACCATAATATGCGTGCACTTGCCAAAGCACAAGTCTCTAGTATTTGAAATACGCCTTTTACAAAGGTGTTGGTGAGGGGGTGGATATAGAGGTTGGGGGTAAATTTCAACAAAAACCAAAGATGTAAGAGATATAATTCTATAACTGATTTTCGATAAGGTTCATTATTGATAAAAAATATCGGGATGAGTTATCGATTTTTGGTGATAAGCTCGATATCCGCGCTGTATATACGGACATTTTAAAACAAATTTGAAGTCTCTAGCTCTTATATCTTTTGAAATCGACGCGATCAGGACGACGAGCTGAGTCGATATAGCCCTGTCCTTCTGACCGTCCGTCCGTAGAGCAAAAGAATCTCAGAAGATATAAGAGCTAAAGAGCTGAAATTTGGCATGCATACTCGTGTATACCGTAGGCAGTACAAGTTTATCATATTTTTTCGATAACTCATCCGATAACTTTTTTATCGAGAATAATCGAAAAATCGGCTTTGTTTTTTCAGCCTAATTTGAACATTTTTAGACATGTAGACTTCAAATTTGTGTTGTATATAAAGTTAATGGATACAAAGATTTTGTAATTTACAGATTTTAGATACAAAGCCCCCTTCGCATTTCAAGTACTAGAGACTTGTGCTTTGGAATGTACACACATACTAAACATATGATTACGTTTTAAAAGTTTCATTAAGATTGTATGTCTACAAAAGGAATTATTCAACAACTAAATTCTTATAATATTGCCCACACTGCAGCGCAGCCCAAGCGCAGTCGCTGCTAACTTCGCAGTCAGCAGAGCACGTGATATACGTGCGTGGAAGAAATGCAGAATGAGTAGAATATCAGCTTGGAAGGTTCAGGGTATCTCCCAGTCGAGCAGTCTCGACTGGAGCCTTCTTGCTTGTTATACCCTGAATCCATTGAAAATGGGAAATCAGGGTATAATGGTTTTGTTAAAAGTATGTAACAGGCAGAAGGAGGCGTGGCAGACCCCACAAAGTATATATATTCTTGATCAGGGCGACGAGCTAAGTCGATTTGGCCCTGTCCGTCCGTCCGTCTGTATGTATGAACGCGTCGATTTCAGAAGAAATCGAGCTAGAGACTTGAAATTTTGTTTCCTAGGTCCGTGTATATCACCCGCATATCAAGTTTTTCTTTTTATATCGATAACTACTCCCGATATTTTATTATCGATCAAAAACCTTATCGAAAGCTAGTTATTTAATTATATCTCCTACACCTTTAGAGCTAGAGCTTGCAAATTTTATATCTAGACTTATATGTATTTTATATAATTTCGATTTTTGTTGTAATTTACCCCCACCCCTATATCCACCCCCTCACCCTCACCTTTGTAAAAGGCGAATGTACATACATTTTCACCATATAATTACGCCCTAAAACTTTCATTAAGATTGTACGTATAGAAATTAAATTATTCAACAAATAAATTCTTATAATGTTACCTACACTACAGCGCAGCCCAAGCGCAGTTAGCAGAGCGCATTCTAATACGTGTGTGTGTATGTATGTGTGTCGAAAAGAAGTGCAGACTGATTAGAATATCAGATTAGAGGGTTCAGGGTATCTCCTAGTCGAGCAGTCTCGACTAGAGTCTTCTTACTTGTTTTTTTTTTACGTAAATGGGGGATCCTGAGCTCAAATATGAAGTCGGAAAAAATTCTACATTCTACGTGCTTTCGTGTACCTGGAAGGTGAGAAAATGTAAATAAGTGCCTCAAGGCACTCTTGGGGCTTAGAGGGTAAAAAAGTAGTTTCCAAATAAATTGATTTTTATACCCTGAACCCATTTTCAATAGGAAATCAGGGTATAATGGTTTTGTTGAAATGTATGTAACAGGCAGAAGGAGGCGTGGCAGACCCCACAAAGCATATATATTCTTGATCAGGGCGACGAGCTGAGTTGATTTGGCCCTGTCCGTCTGTCCGTTCCTCCGTCTGACCGCATGTTTGAACACGTCGATTTCCGAAGATATAAGAGCTAGAGACTTGATTTTTTTTTTTAAATTACCGTATATACAGCGCGGATGTCGAGTTTGCTTTTAAAATTCGATAAATCATCCCGTTATGTTTTTATCGAATAAAAACATTCAAGTTCAAGTCAAGTTCAATCACTAACCAGAGAACACATAGACTAGACAACTAGTGGAAAGCTGTTTGCACGCTTTTTTTGAGGCTTTAACACCCCAGACAGCTTTGGACTCGCTCGGCTCCTTACTTTTAGGTTCGAGCTACGAAAAAATACGAACGCACAATCATTTCGCTTCATGCGCTCGACCGAGATGGTCAAATTTTGAACAAAAGATCCCTCTATGCTCA